GGAAGATTTGCATAACGCCGCCCAAATGTTCACGCAAAGAAAGTAGGCGTAACTTTTATTCTCGCTGTAGTATTGTTGCCGCTGCCGCCATGTCGTGAAGGCGCTGTGTGTTTCGTTGTGAAAGCGAAACTACTTTGTTTGGCCTTCCAAAAGAGGACAATATCCGTTTCGTTATGCCTAGAGCTGATCCGTGCTGGTCGCTGAGGAAATACATCAACTTTGCGCTGTGGATCGCCGGATCGGCTTTCACCGTGGACGAAGCGGAGTCCAGCCCGGGGTCGTCACATGTGGTTGCCGCAAGCCCACCGGCCACTCCTTAGTCGAATCTGCTGACTGCGCCGTTCTCAAGCCCGCCTGCCTCTGCTCACTCTAGGCCGAGGCCTTAAACCGCATAAACACATTTCATTACACCAAATAGCAGCATTTTTTAGCAGCATCATATGACCCCTTTAACCCTGCAAAATTATTGTTTAAAAATGATACAAAATCCAAAAGAGTAGTAACTGTGTGTATAATAGTTATACACACCAACACAGAATGTGACTGAAGTGTTTTTTCTTTCTCCTTTTGAGTGCTGAAACAGATCTACTGTAACTCTAGAACTCTGCATTGTGTCTAATCTATAGAAAACTGGAGTTAAATTATATAATAAATATATGCTGCATTTTAGTTATTTAGTGTAACAGAACTTGAATTTTTATTTTTAATGTTGGTTTTTGCATTAATGAATTTTGTTTTTACATCGAAAAAGGTCTTAACCTTCATATGATGGCACTAAAATGCTTAAGTTTAGAATGTGTTTTGTTCCTAACAAATACATATAACTTACCAAATCCTGCCATTGGTTATGAATTAAACCATATACGATCTAACTCTGTCTTGGCTTCACCATCATACATTGGCTTGAGGTCATAATTAATCCAAAAATGGTAGGTTATGTTAGCACACAGCAGTTTAGCGGTGCAATTTAACATTGTGAATTTTCTATGCAACAAATTAGCTTGAATTATCACAGAAGCTATTTGTGAACAGATCATTCCATGCTGAAGGCTTTGAATGAATGTGATTTTCATGAATTTAGATTTGTTTATTGACCACCTTACCTATCCAAACACAGCTGAGGTTTAGGATTGCAGTAGGTCTGTCCTGCATGCTGAAGTATCGTCTATGTTAGAGCTTAATGTTGTAATTAATCCACCTCTGTGTTTGAGCCACAGTATATGTGATTATATCAGTGTTCTTATATCTGTGTTATATCAGATATGCACATTATTGTGTATGTGTATAGTTTATGTATACGTGTTGTTGGTGTATAAAGTGATTCTGTAATGTGTGTCATTCTGTGCTGCTGTAATTCAGTCTAAGTTAAAGAAATAGTTATTATGCAAAAGGCTGTCTCATTCCATTCCCTAGTTCACAATGAAGTGAATTGTTCAATTCTGACATTTTGTATCATTTTTTTGTGCATTGTTACTGTAGCTTTTAAAAAGAGCAGTACCATTATGAAATATTAGTTTGTCCTCCATTTCTGGTGATTTTCAAGGCTGTACTGTACTGACATCCGTCAATATAGTGAGCAGCCTACTGGTGTTCTCTGGGATTTTTCAGTGCACTAGGTGGGACAACTTGGTCAGTGTACTTAATACTGAACTGGGCAGTGGATTGAAACAAAAATAACTAAATTTCCTGCTTATCTCTTACAGAAAGGGATGAAAATATTGCTGTTTGCACTAACAATATAAGATGAGAGATTTAAGCTGTTTAATCACTCTCTTTTCCACTTACTATCTTTTTCTTCTCAGTTCTAATCAGACTGCCGCTACACTAAACTTGTGATCAGTGTCATCTGGCATTCACCAGTATGTCATGTGTTTCCACATATTTCCTTCCCTTCGCATAGGTGAGAAGGTCATGGCTGATGATGAGTTCACTTGTGACCTCTTCCGCTTTCTGCAGCTCCTCTGTGAGGGTCACAACAATGGTGGGTCCTGAATCTTCGTGTACAGTAAAATGCTGTTGTTTTTGTTACTGTAGAACACAAAGTTCAAGGGAATGTAATTGTTGTACAAATTGAATGTTTAACCATCTGTGAGTTTACTTTTACTTTAGACTTCCAGAACTACCTGAGAACACAGACAGGCAGCACCACCATCATCAATGTCATTATCTGTACAGTGGATTACCTGCTTAGACTACAGGTGATGTCATTTTACCCTTGAAAACGGACTAATTCAGACATCGTTACATACTCTTGAACTTATAGACCGATAAAGTGTTGCTTTAAATTTTGATATCTGCACACTTATTAGTTTGTGGATGTTTATTTTCTCTTTCCAGGAGTCTATCAGTGATTTCTACTGGTATTACTCAGGAAAAGACATAATAGATGAACCAGGCAAAAGGAACTTCTCTAAAGCTATGACTGTGGCCAAACAGGTGTTCAACAGCCTTACTGAGTATATCCAGGTACATCATCTTATTTCTTTGATCATTAACTTTCATATTCCTTTTATTTATTATATTAATTTTGTGGTCTCCACATGTAACTTTTACACAACCCCTTGTGTGTTTGAATAGCTGAATGGTGGAATTTTCTCCCGAGAAAAATTTGCTCTGAATTTTTACAGTGTTCTCGGCACATTAATTTCCTCTAAAATCATAGACTTATCTACCATGTATTTAAGTTGTCCTTCTGTCTCAGGGACCCTGCACAGGAAACCAGCAGTCCCTGGCCCACAGTCGCCTGTGGGATGCTGTGGTGGGCTTCCTGCATGTTTTTGCCCATATGATGATGAAACTGGCTCAGGTAACCCATCTGAACTTGATTGCTCTGTTACCTACACATTTCTTGTTTTCATTCTATCTGAATGCATTAGATCACATAGTTGAGATTTTCATTCATGTACATGAAGTTGGCTTAGTGTTTTTTGTATAAATATAAAGTTTTTGTATCACAGTATCTTTTATGTAACATAAAAACATATTGTACAGCTTCTCAGTAGATCTGCACACTTTCTCCAGTAGCAAATGTGTTTAATTTCTACTAAAAGGGCTTATTTATTTCTTTAGTTGCTAATAGGAAATGCATGTAAATGAAGTTGTAGTAGTTGCTTATGAATAGTAGAACTGCTTTTAATGATTAGATTACAAGCTAAATTAAAGAGCATGTTACATTCCTTTTTCAAACTTTTAACGACTGGTATGTTGGAATGTTTTACTGTTTTTACTCTCAATGCTTTACTGATTAATCAAACTGTTTTTCATATGCCGTATGCAGGGAAGAGTATGTATCACTCTTATTTATCTATTGAAGTGGTTGTATTTGAGTTTCCCCCTTTATGTTCCAGATTCTTAAATTCAGGTGTTTGAACCCAGTTGGCCTTTTTTGACACAAAATCTAATTTTTACTCTTCATTTAACATGCCAATTTCTCTTAATATTTCTGAAAAAAATAAAAATAAAAAAGCATGCAAACAAGTGGGTCAAACATCCTGAGAAAATGGATGGCAGTTAACATTACCCAGAAAAACCATGTGTTTTTAGCTTTATGTGATTTTTGTTTTGCCTCTTCTACAATTCTGCCTTTGGTGTGATGTTTTTTTTTTTCATCATCTCTTGTGTGTATGGAGTGTTTCTGTTTCTAGTAATTAACTCCTGTTATTGTTACTGCATGCATTAACCTACATTAAATGTTACAGTTTTTTAGATTATCCTCAACCAATCTGATAAGGTAACGTTTCTTATAAAGATGCTAATGTATTTATTTTGTGATCATACCCTTATACAGCAAGTTATACCACCACAAATAATGAAGCTGTTATGTCTAAAACAGTTTTTCCCCCTTTTTTTAAGAATCATATTGCTATAATCGCATTTGTTGTTGTTGTTTTTTTACATTGTGTATTAAAAAAACATTATTTAATAAAAAATGTATATTTTATATATTCTTTTAGTTTTATAAATTATATGTTTTGTACATTTTTTGATGTACAAAAGCTGCTACATTTGTTGTTGTTGTTTTTTTACATTGTGTATTAAAAAAACATTATTTAATAAAAAATGTTATAAATTATATGTTTTGTACATTTTTTGATGTACAAAAGCTGCTGATTTAGATAATATATGTTATGGTACAGTTAATATGTCATTCTGTTTTCTTGTAGGATTCCAGTCAGATTGGTCTTCTGAAAGAGTTGTTGGACCTTCAGAAAGATATGGTGGTCATGTTATTGTCTCTGCTGGAGGGTATAAAGAAAATCTTGCATTTATGTTCATCAGTTTTTACATCATTCAGTCTAGACCTGATTACACTGTATGACTCTGTATTTGACAGGTAATGTTGTAAATGGCACTATTGCTCGCCAAATGGTGGACATGCTAGTGGAGTCATCCAGCAATGTAGAAATGATCCTTAAATTCTTCGACATGTTCCTCAAGCTGAAGGACATTGTTGCGTCTGATGCATTCCGCGACTATTTGACAGACCCTAGAGGTTTGATATCCAAGAAGGATTTCCAAAAAGCCATGGACAGCCAGAAACAGTACACACCTGCGGAGATCCAATTCCTATTGTCCTGCTCTGAGGCAGATGAGAATGAGATGATTAATTACGAGGAGTTTGCCAGTCGGTTCCAAGAGCCAGCGAAAGACATTGGTTTTAACATTGCGGTGCTGCTAACCAACCTCTCTGAACATGTTCCTCATGATACCAGGTTGCAGAACTTCCTCGAACAAGCTGAGAGCGTTCTGAACTATTTCCGCCCATTCTTGGGTCGCATCGAGATAATGGGCGCCAGCAGGAAGATCGAGAGAATCTACTTTGAGATCAGTGAGGTGAATCGTAAGCAATGGGAAATGCCTCAAGTCAAAGAGTCCAAACGGCAGTTCATATTTGACGTGGTCAACGAAGGTGGCGAATCGGAGAAGATGGAGATTTTTGTCAACTTTTGTGAGGACACCATCTTTGAGATGAATATCGCTTCACAGATTTCAGAGCAGGATGAGGAGGAGAAAGAAGAGAACGATGAGGAGGAACCCGAAGGAGGAGGTGGCGGAGATGAAGATGGTGGTGGAGAGGAGGGCCAGCCAGAATCAAGCTCCGCCTTTGCTGATTTCATCCAAAGCATCATGAATTTCCTGGGCATGTTTACCTTTAGGAATATTCGCAGACAGTACCGTAGGCTCAGGAAGATGACCATCAAGGAAATTGTGGTCAGGGTTGCTACCTTCCTATGGACAATCCTCATGGGCATCCTCCATTTCATTTACAGTGTGTGTAAAGGTTTCTTCTTGCTCATCTGGCATACACTTTTTGGAGGTGGTTTAGTTGAAGGGGCCAAGAACATCACCGTCACCGAGTTGCTGGCCAGCATGCCGGATCCCACACAGGATGAGGTGCATGGAGACCTACCGGGAGAACCAAGGGGCGGAGAGGCGCAGGATACAGGAGGTATAACCGACTCAATGGAAGCAGGAGGGGGAGAGGAAGAGGATGAGGACATCCAGGAAAAAGATGGTGGGAAGATTCCTGGTATCGATACACCTGGTGGACTTGGAGATATGGGTGACACGACCCCTGTGGAGCCACCGACTCCAGAGGGCACTCCATTACTGAAAAGGAAAATGGTATGGTGTTTATTCAACTGGGTTCCTTGTGTTCCTTCACCAATCTTCTACACAAAGATTATTAATTGTATGCGTCATGTTGGTCCTTGTTTTTTTTTTTATGCTGCAGCAACCAGAAGCAGGAAGTGAGCAACCTCCTATTGAAGAACCTCTCCCTGAGCCTGAGAAAGCAGAGTGAGTGACTCCCAAATGAAGGGAAAACAGGACATTGTTTTGTGTTTTTCTAGATGTATTTACCATTTTAATGACCATCTTCCGTGTGTAACAGCACTGAGAATGGAGAGAAGGCTGAGAAGGAAGCAGAGGTCAAGCCTGAGACGACACCAGAAGAACCAAAACCTGAGAAAGCCACCAAAGCCAAGAAGGAAAAGAAATCAGCCAAGGGGGCAGGATTTGAGCTCTGGAATGAATTGGATGTTCAAAGAAATAAATTCATGGTAGGAGAAATAATATATTTTTCTTCTAAATCTTGAATCTATGAGTTTTAGTTACGATTTACGGGTTTTGATTTGCTGTTCATCTCCACTTCCATCTACAGAACTGTTTGTCCCGTAACTTCTACAACCTTCGTTTCCTGGCTTTGTTCATCGCCTTCGCCCTGAACTTCATTCTTCTCTTCTACAAGGTCGGAAAACCTATTTTAGATTTTCACACAAATTGTCCCATTTTAATAAGTGGTTTATTTGGATTTCTAGGCTTGTTTATATGTCCTTTTGTTAAAATGTTTAATTTAATTCAATTCAATCAAAATGGCATGCCTCACAATCATTTTACTTTAAAATGCACATAGATGTAAAAATAAAATCTAATGTTCCTGTCATTTTTTTTATTTAATTTTTTTTTCCAGGTATCTGATACTCCTCCGTTTACTGATGAGTTTGACGGCTCAGGTATGTTTGAAAGCTCTGGGCTGTTTGAAGGCTCTGGGGAGGACTTTGAGGGCTCTGGTGGAGAGGATGGAGGCGATGATGATGAGGAAGGTCCTGTGTATTATTTCCTGGAAGAGAGTACCGGATACATGCAGCCCACTCTGGCCTGCCTGGCCATTGTGCACACCATCATCGCTTTCTTATCCATCATTGGATACAACTGCCTCAAGGTTTGAACCACTAGATTTATATTTTAGTGCTTGAACTTGTGTCATTATCAGACTTGAGTTATCATGATGTCGTGGTCTGTTAGATTCCACTGGTCATCTTTAAGAGAGAGAAAGAGCTGGCAAGAAAGCTGGAGTTTGATGGCCTTTACATCACTGAACAGCCAGAAGATGATGACATCAAAGGCCAGTGGGACAGATTGGTGCTAAACACACCGTAAGTGTGCAGAAAAGTTGAGTTAGATTCTGTTTTGAGGTCAAACTGGTTTTGCACATATGTGGTCCCTAATTTATGTCTCTTTAATACTCTAGGGTGTTAGGATGGACTAATAAGTGTGTGTTAGCAGACCCAGCCAGCTGTGGTCATAGTTTTTCCTTTAAAAAAACTGTAATTAAAACACTTTATCATTGTTTTAGCTCCTTTCCCTCCAACTACTGGGACAAATTTGTTAAGCGAAAGGTAAATCAATATTCTTTCTGTTCATTGGTGTTTAGGTTTAAAATGAATGTGTTTATGAGGCCATGATGTTCTTGTTTCCTTTGGCAAGGTTCTGGATAAATACGGAGATATTTATGGACGTGAGCGAATTGCAGAGCTGCTGGGTATGGATCTGGCATCGCTGGATGTCAGCAAACAACAGACAGACAAGAAACCCGAAGAGCGGAAAACAGGTACAGTCAGTACAACAAAACTCAAACTGGTTCTGAAAATCTGAATTTACACACCAGTTGACTCTGTTGGCTTGTTTCAGCTGATGATGACTGTGGGTTTGCTGGCTGTGGTTGTGTACCTCTACACTGTGGTGGCCTTTAACTTCTTCAGGAAGTTCTACAATAAGAGCGAGGATGAGGACGAGCCGGACATGAAGTGTGACGACATGATGACAGTTGGTCACTGCATTATAAAACACTATTGGTGTCAAATTGTCTTTTTTTTCTCCTTCTCTAATAATGTCTTTATGAGTTGTACAGTAACAAACATTTTGTAAAACCTTTTGTTGGGGGTTGCTCATTTTTTTCTGCAATTCTCCCCTAACCAAACACCTGCTGTGTAATCCAACACATCTCTCGCTCTTTCTCTTCTCAGTGTTATCTGTTCCACATGTACGTGGGTGTGCGGGCAGGTGGAGGTATAGGAGACGAGATTGAAGACCCAGCAGGGGATGAGTATGAACTCTATCGGGTGGTTTTCGACATCACCTTTTTCTTCTTTGTCATCGTCATCCTGCTGGCCATCATTCAAGGTGAGACTTATGTTTCTATTCAACTTGGCCTAGCAAATCTACCGCATTAAATTATACATTTATGACTGGCTATGAAATTTCATTTTCTGGATTAGATTGAAAACACTGCACTGCAATTCAATGCGTGTTTGTCTGCACAGGTCTGATCATTGATGCTTTTGGTGAGCTGAGAGACCAGCAAGAACAAGTAAAAGAAGACATGGAGGTACTGAGATCTTTACGGTTCAATAAAGAAAAATACATATTAAGTTTTTAAATGCTTAGCAATGTATCTGCTTTTCCGCTTTGCATTGCCAGACCAAATGCTTTATATGTGGTATTGGGAGTGATTACTTTGATACAACTCCACATGGCTTTGAGACGCATACTCTTGAAGAACACAACCTGGCCAATTACATGTGAGCGATTCGGTTTTCTGCCACCTTTCTTATGTTATACAATCTCTCCATCTTCAGACATCTTATACAGTCTCTCTCTCTTCATTAGGTTCTTCCTGATGTACTTAATCAACAAGGATGAAACTGAGCACACTGGGCAGGTAAGATGTGTCACAATGTTCATAATTCATAAATATGAAAAGTGATCTAAATATAATATGTGTTTGACAGGAATCATATGTGTGGAAGATGTACCAGGAGAGATGCTGGGATTTCTTCCCTGCTGGAGACTGCTTCAGAAAACAATATGAAGACCAGCTTGGATAAATGTTTTTCTGTTTTGTTCGTTGCCTTTAACCAGTAGTATGATGTTTAAATTGTGACAATCCATGTTATATGTAAAATTACACAGTAATAATGTTATTGACTTGCACAATACCAGATCATTATACTCATATACACTCAAAATGCATGCTATTTATTCATAGTAAGTTTTTTTGGAGGGTAATTTTTAAGTATCTGCTCATTTAAAATATTAATGTGCCTAAGACCTGTTCTAATGATTCTTTAGCGTGTCACAATTTTTGTCATAAATTTGAAAATGTTAATGTACTTGATGTTCTTGCAGTTTAAGCATCCCACTTCCAGATGAGCTCAAACATCAAAATCTACTGTGAAAAAAATGATTTTATCAAAATATATAAATAATCATCACAGACATTGTGAATGATGTGAATTTGAATGTTTTTATTCAGAAATTGTAAAAGCATTACATTAAGCATCATATTTGTCTTCAATCATCTAATAATCTTAAAATAGCAAATTCACATTCTAAATGTTAAAAGTCTCAAAAGTATGTTGAATGTTGTTCAAAAATGTGGCATTTTATCAGAGTACTACAGATGAGCAACAAGCTAAAAGTGCAAAAATAAATCCTAATGAAAACAGAATAGATCATTAATCAAGATACATATGCTACCAACATTGTTTAATTTTAAGATTTCAGTTGCCTTTTTAGGGCCTTTTACGATATGGTATGATAAAGATGCTATACATTTAAAACAAATATATACAGTGGGGAAAAAAAGTATTTAGTCAGCCACCAATTGTGCAAGTTCTCCCACTTAAAAAGATGAGAGAGGCCTGTAATTTTCATCATAGGTATACCTCAACTATGAGAGACAAAATGAGAAAAAAAATCCAGAAAATCACATTGTAGGATTTTTAAAGAATTTATTTGCAAATTATGGTGGAAAATAAGTATTTGGTCAATAACAGGCTAGAAAAACAGAATAATCTAAAAATAACATTTCAGAGCAGCTGGTCTAGTTGAAGTGTAATTCCTGCAAATATATATGCAACTACACTAATAATTACAAATAGAATCACAAATGGCACTCCGCTAAATAATCAGATAATACATGGGTTTGTAGGTGATGGGATTTCCCCACCAGTACGCAAATCAGATTCTAGAATTGACTTTGTACTAAGTATAAATGTTATCATCACAGACACATCTTACACTTTGATACAACAGTCACTGCTTGTAAAAACGCTAATCTTATAGAAGCATTCCTTCCAGCGACCCTAAACCTTAAAGGGGTCATATGATGCGATTTCAAGTTTTCCTTTCTCTTTGGAGTGTTACAAGCTGATAAATAAGTTATAAGCATAAATAAGATCCCTGAAGTTGCAAAGACTAAAGTCTTAAAGGGGTCATATGATGCTGCTAAAAAGAACATTATTTTGTGTATTTGGTGTAATGAAATGTGTTTATGCGGTTTAAAGTATAAATGATAGTTGTCATGCGGTGAATCTGGCCAATTGTGAAATGGCTGTGTCGTCATCAACGCTCCTGCAGTCGCCGAGTCAGCCGGCTGCTCTCGAAACGCTATCGCGGTACTTTGATGCCACACGTGACAGCGGAGTTTTGCACATTGTGTGAGTGTGAGAGAGAGAGAGAGAGACAGGGTCACATCACAGTGGAGTCAGCTGTCTTAACCATGGCGTGTGTGCTGCAAACATACCAGCTTCATCACTGTGTCGGTCAGGCGACTCTGTTCCCCTTTAGGGCTCAGTCTTTACATTTATTTTGAAAGATGAAGCTCGCGATTATGGTAAGGGGCGTTACATTTCCGACGAGTGCTTGCCTACTATGCTGCAACTCCACCTGACCTATTATAACAAAAACCAACTCCAAACTATGTAAAAAAAAAAAAAAAGAACACTATTTCAATTATAAACACTACACTACCCTGCTTAAACATAAGAAAAAGAAGCAACTGAATGTTTATCATTCCTTGTTTTGAGTTGATAAAAAAAAAAAGGTTTCAAAATGCCAATACTAGATTCGACTGGGATTCATCATTATATAACACATGCAAAACCCTTTTTTCACTTGGAAATATTTTTCTTTTCAATCAAGATTCTAATTTAAAATCTAAATTTCAAAGATAAACTCTCAACTTTATTTGCCTCAGATTAAGATGAAGATTTAGACTGGAATATCCACTTGCGATTGATCTTGGGTTTGTGGGGTTTCGGCAGATCCAGGTATGGTGGAGGCTGATGAGCTATGCATGCACTGATTATCTGATGACAGCTCTGTTGGGATTGAGAGGATGCTTTCGCTGTCAGTGCTGGACTGGGACACTGTCTTGTACTCGCGCACAGGGCAGGCACGCTCTGTGAAATTGGGTTTGAAGCCGTTCTCCAGATCTTTAGGCATGGACAGCCATTTCTGTATGACAAAAAAAGATTAATTCTCACATTCCCTCTTTACCACTATTCAAGGATGGTACACAATTGAAAAAAAGAATAACTGTTGCTTACCTCAACATTGCCATTATAATTGTCAAAAAGGGCTGCAAGGTAATTGCTTACATTTCGTCCTGCATTTGGTACCACTGGTATTAAAATGATTCTTAACCTAAGGAACGTTACACATTAAATTATCATAAATAAAACACTTCTATTGAATTAAAAGATAAAGAGAATTTTACTGTGGAAAATTAAAATGCAATGTTTAAAATAAAGAAAAATGGTTGAAGGACAAAAAAAATGGCTTCAAACCTCTCGCTATGGATGAGCAAGCAGGAGAGTATGATGAGAATTATTGTGGCTCCCACTATATACAGCACCAGTGACGTCACAGACATGTTAATCGGACTCTCTGGGGAAAAGGGTTGTCATTAAGGCCACTGCTATAGATGTCATAATTGTTTTTTCAATCCAGCAAAATCTTTGCAAACATATGTTTATGCTTTTGTACAGTAAAAAAAAGTTACATATTGCTCCTTTAACTGACAGTGGGCCTGTAACAATACCACACTTTGCAGTCTTTGCCACTTGAGACTTTGCACTTGACTGTCCCAGTTTCAGTGTTCAGTGCCCTTCTGACTTCTGAGCGGTATTTGAGGCTAAGCGTAGCCTATCCCATCATCTTTCATGTGTATTTTGTAAAAGGTTTGCAACATTATCACTTAATCACAATTACATAGGCTCAACTGAACAGACATTTTTAAGTATTGAAAATCAAAATGTGCAAATAACAATGAAAAAACTTGCATTTTTACAATACTACACAGTACATCATATCAGTCAACAAGTGGTCAAGTGCAAAGACTGCGAGTGTGGATATTTGGACAGGCCCTGATACAACCAGTGCGTCATGTATATTAATCATCAAACATGAAACTGGTTGTGGAAAGATTTTATGGCAAATTCCTCACTTTCAACATATATAAAAAGCATCCAGTTTGTGGTGATGCATTACGGAAAGCATGAAAATACAATGTGCTGCAAGTCTGAAGAGTGTGAGAGCACGCACAGGCAGAGAGAACTTGTTCTGATTGGCTGTTCTGATGAGGCGTCGATAAAGCGCTTGTGACTGTGACTGTTTGTCTGCAGTTCTTCATCCTTTTCATTTGCAGCATACTAGCAGGCAGATAAAGCATTGAGAGACTTGTAATACAGATAAGATAAGTTACCTGTGTTATTGTTGGCCTTTAAAGATCCCCAGTAGACAGGCTCACTCCAGTCGCTCCAAAACATGGACTCTACGCAGGAATACCCTATTCGAGCCCTGACCTGGAACTCATACCGCTTTTTTGAGGGAAAAGGCAAACTGAAGGAGGTCCTGTGGCCTGGAGTGGTGTTCTAGGGAAGAGAGATGTTAATTGTGCCGCGTTTTGTGTTGTTTGGTGTTCAGACGACCACAAGGTGAGAAGCATACAATGACAATTTATACAACAGTTAACTTACGGTCCTCGAAACTGATTAGTCGTCAAGCACTGGGATTTTCTCTTTTATCTCAGCAAATCACTTTACCATTTAATAAGGAGTTCCGACAAGATATAACATATGGCATAGTAACAATGTCTTTTTTTTTTTTTTTTTAAGTGCAAATGGCTCTATTATTATTTTTGGACGTATCTCTTCGCATGTTACGTAATTAAGCCGATAGGTGGCGACAAGTGACTTGTCTTTTTCAACAGCGATTAATACAGGGAAAAAAAACAAGTGACATTTTCTTACGAGTCACTGAATCATTTACTCAATCGATACGTAAATTCAAAACCCAGATTCAACCCCCTTGTCCAAATACCCACACTTGCTGTCTTGGCCACTTGAGAACGCGTGCGCGCGACATGAAGTAAGTGAGCAAGACTGTCCCAGGTCTTAAAAACGCCGAGATCTCGCGAGAGGTCATGGAAACCTTTCCAATGTATGTTAAATATTATACAAGAATCATCAGAGGACATTAAAAGACTCTATTTAAGGTTCACACACACACACACACACACACGCACACACAAAAAAAGTAATTCAATTTTTTTTTTATTAATTGTAATTTTAAATCTTTGCTAATCTTTGCCACTCTCCTTTAAACAAGTGGGTATTACCCATTTGTCAGCAAGAAGTTTTAAATAATTTAATATATAATACAATTTAGTATGATCACGTATTGTTTTATATTTAATAAGCGCATGTCAGAATAAGTATGTTGTTTCATTTTTACATAAATACATCTGAGACTGAATGGCGATGGAACATTATTTCACCCATATTTTGACATTTTATTTTCACAAAAGTTATTTGAAATAGTTAAAGTAGACACTTTAGTTGCATTTGATATGCTTTCTATAAACCCACTTTTGTCCATTTATTTTGATGTGGACATCGCTAAAATGCTGTTGATTTCAATGTCAGCAAATGCTTCTCATAATAAATCAGTAAGCCATTAGAGGCCATATTAAATTACTATACAATGCCAGAGTTTAGTTTTATCAAATTAATTTCATACCTTCCAGGCATTGTTGTCTGTCCTGTGACGAATTTCACTCTCAATGCAGACGTAGTTCCTTGTAATATTCCAGTACAGCCACAGTTCAGCATCTTTTTTTTCCACCACAGACAGGTTGAATGGAGGGTAAAGCTTCACTGATTAGCAACACATTATATAAAGTATCAATCCATCAGCCGTCATTTCCATATAATTATTATCAAGTCATAATAAATATGAATAATTTCTAATACCAGATGCTTTAATGTTTTCATGTTTCTGCTCTGTCACCAAACTGCCGTTGTCACTGTACAGCCATGTGTTTAAAGTATTAAACCGTAGTGGGTTTTCGTAGGTTAAAATGCAGCCCACGTTAACACCTTTAATCTTGAGATATTTAGGACAATCCAGAATTTCGTTATGTGAAAACCTAAGAGAAATCACATGCTAATGTCAGTCCTGAAATTTGTATCCAAAAATGCAGGTTTTTCTATTTTGTTCAACATACGCACTTGCTCTTGAAACTGTAACTTTGCTCATGCTCACTCCAGGTGCAATTAACATAGTCCAGGTTTATGATAAGGCAGTTTATTTCTGGGTAAAGAAGAGAGAAAGTTAACATTTCAATTCATCTTTAAAAGAGCCTTATTTTATTTTTAATTCTAATGTACATAATATATAAATGACAGCTTGTAATGCATGTAGTTTGTCAGTAGAGGATGCTCAGCCGGTGAGGACTGGAAAGAAACATATACATACAGGAAATATGCATGTTTTCAGTCAAAAACACTATTTTATACCTTCTTACTGATTAAAATTCAATTGTAGTCTTACATAAGAATTCTTAGAATATTTTGATTTAGTCATTGTATGAAAAACTGAAACAAAAATGTGGTAAGCTCATGTTGCGTGTGTGAATCATGGCCACAGACCAGCCATTTTGGAAGGCAAGCAACTGAACATTTGTCAGCTCTTCAGCGACAGGTTGCTGAAAAATTTCACAGTTTCCTGAGGAGTATGGAATGGTCTCCTCTGCTGATGAAACAATCTCTGCCGCCAGACTTTTTAGCCCCTATATATGTTAACATATTCGATTTTAACATCTTAACTGTTGTAGAACCACATACTTCCGTAGTTTTAGAGAGCATATAAAACCACAAAAAGGGGAAGAAATGAATCAAAAGCCAACAAACCCTACTGTTTTGTTTAATAGTTTCGAAATGAATCCTGTAAACCTTTTGTTTTTTAATACTAGGTATTATAGGCAACATGATATAAAATCAAAATAATAAGGAAAAAAATACATTTCATTTCAAAATGGTGTAGTTGTAAAATACTCACTTGGCTGGGATGCTGAAAATGCAAATGAAGGAATGTTCCCAAGGAAAAGACTGACTAAAAATAATATCATCTTGGACAGGTCACATAGCGCACTTGTTGTTTTAGGTTTGTTTCAGTCTTCCCTTTTCTAGCCTAAATGTATCTGCTCTCTGTGTGGGCTGGCATATGTGTGTGAGATTTCCTGTCCAAGAGAAGCCACATTTTGCTGATTGCCTGTTATGAAATGAACTAAATGCTAAATTTGTGTATGAAAGAAAATAGGCATTACAATTTTTTAGAACATTTTATTTAGCTTTTACATAAAAGCACATATTGTTATAAGAAACCTAAAATATGCTATAGTGATACATTTAAGCAATAAACATATATTCTAGCCTTTAGTTAGACATTATATAACAATCAGGTACAGCAAAATAACTGATCCACATAAGAAATTATTCTAAACAATCTTGTGTCTCAAAACTAGTGTGCTATCATATAGTTGGCGACCATATCTTTACATTTCAGCGGAGAAATGTATTACTAAAGAAGATGAACTGTTAAATAAACAGATTATGAATTTATATATTTTTTTTTTGCATCACATGGGAGATACTATGATTAATCACTATTACTTTACATTTTTTGTGACATTTTAAACGTTTTAGTGCTACAAACTTTTTTGTGTGTATCAATAGCATATCATACACTCAAGTAACTTTTAATTGAGCAAATAAAAGAGTTATTACTGATTTAGACAAATGGTGGGTGAGTATGCAGCAGATTTTCTGCTAGATGAAACCTTTAATTCTCATCATGGCAAGCCTCCCACACAGAAATGCTGACTTTACAACAGCACCCAATGCAGAGGTTGCATTAACGGATTTTTTTTTTATCTCACAATGTCAAATGCATCAGAGTTTTAAATGACAAAAGAGAGCTCTAAAGGCAGTGTAGTGTTACTGAAGGATAGGCTGGATGCTTCCTGCGCCAGTTGCAGAAGGGATGGTAATATATCCGAATACTCTCCACTATCGTAGCGCTCCTGCTCCGGGTCTGCATTTTGTTGCAGGCTCTGCTGCTGCTGTGTAACTGCACAAACACAATATAGTGAACAAACCAGAAGTGTAAGTTCTGAATTCATGTGTGGGTTCGGGACGGTGTGTGAGAGGGAAGCGTGGGCGTATATGTGTGTACCTGTGTTGGCGTGAGGTAACGTGTTTGCTTCATTCTGGCTTCTCTGTTTGCTCTCGGTTTTTGTGTTGGAGTCTTTAACAGCAGAGATGTGGCAGTCAGGGGTAAAGATCTACCATAAACATGAAACCAAACATGTCAGATCATAAATAAGCTTGTTAACTATAACTGAAGCAGTGTGGTTTGTAATAGCATCTGTGTTGTATTTTTCAATGATGTTGTAAGTCAGACCTTGCTGAAATTGTCCAGGTCTGGTGAGGGTGGAGAGCATGAGCGGATCGCTGCTAAACTGGAGTCAATCAGTGCCAGTGGATCAGACACATCATTTCTGTTCTCAAGAGAAGAAGGGGAGTGTAATATTCGGGCTGAACATTTAATCAAAATGTTTTAGTGTGATAGTGTATGCGCCGTGTGTTTTAGAGTGAAGCACAGCACTGTTTATTTATACAGTATGCGAGCTGCTCAGGATAACGGTGTTTTCGGTGTCTCAGAGCAACTTGGTTTGCAGTAAATGCTGCTTCATATGATCTCCATCTCTGCAAGTGCAGTTAGTTTGGGTTGCTTGCATTTGAAAACGCAATACACCAAACATTTCAGCGGATTTTTAATGAGAAGCATTTAGAATCTGTTGCCAACGAAGGAGAAGCTTTAAATCTGCGGTTTTTCACCAAAATAAAAGATTGTAGGCATAATGTTTTAAAGGGGACATCAGATGCCCATTTTCCACAAGTTGTTATGATTCTTTATGGTCTTCATGAAATGTCTGCAACATACTTTGGTTAAAATTCCTCAATGGTCGTGTAAAACAACACCCTTTTTACCTTGTCAAAAACAACTCTGTTCACAGTGACCCGTTTTGGTGCATGTCTCTTTAAATGATAATGAGCTACTGCTCACTCCACCCCTCTACCGTTTTTTTTTTGTGTGTATTTTAATTTTTTTTGTAAAACTGATCCTCTGCGTCCTCAGTGGCTCTGATGTTGGGAGAAAATGAAGACTCTTATGTTCACTTTTACATCCAACTACAATACACCCGCATTGCTTATGAGACGTTGTCGCTACCGGGTGTGCCTCACACGTCCTGAAAAGTGAAGCTGCGGGAAAGTGAAGTTTGGGCAGGAGTTTGATACCGCGGCTCCACCTCACGACACTACTGCGCAGACTCTGGCTCCAAACAAATCTCTACTGCGCAGACTCTTTTCAGACGTCATTTACTCAAGATGGCAGCGGCCATACTGAGATGCTTTGGCTTCACTTTTATATAGTGGAAGGAATAGGAGATGCGTCGTCCATCTTTTTTTACAGTCTATGGTCGCTACAGCTGCTCGAGCGTGGAGAAAATGGCCGACAGCGTACAACTGGCTGAGGGCTGAAATAAGCTAATATAGCGGTCGTGGGTGGGGCCTGAGCAGTATGACATCAAACTGCTCAGAAAATCAAAATGGCTCGATAATTGAGACTGATTAGGTTTTTTGAGTGGATTTTATCATTGTAGGGTGGTTGTGTCCACACACTGCTAAGACACATTTATATGCAAACACCATGTAAAAATGAATTTAGCATCTGATGTCCCCTTTAAAATGAAGATAAAGAAACAAATATTATTATTGTAATTTTACAGATCTACTGTAAAATATAATTTTTTATTCTATTATTTTCTTAAAGACTAAATTTTTATTTTAGAGTGAAATAGTCTTAAAGTAATATTTCTTAACCCCCCCCCCCGCCCCGCCCCACCCCT